GGCTCCCGGAGGGAGGTGCCGCGCCGCGGGGCGCGCTGGGAAATGTAGTTCCGGGGGCGGGGCGGAAGGCTGAGGAAGAGGAACGCTGGGAGAGCCGGGGGCCAGGCTGCTTCAACTAGAAAAGGTTTATTGATATAGTGTTGTTATTATGTAAAAACATTAAAAACATTCTGCATTACATTGTGCTTACAGTCAGTAGCAAATTACATCTGCATCACTGAACATCAGCCTGCTTTTGAGAGACGCTCCTGACGCGCTCAGAGAAGCACGACGCGCTCCAGGGATCCTCACTCCGCTGTTCCGCTGACTCCGCAGCCCAGAGCTGCCACGCCACCACCCATCTCACCAACACCTCTTCCACTCACCATGCAAATGTCATCGTTTTCTTGTGTCCCTGTTATTAGCAGCAACTGCCACTGTCCCTCACAGAGCATTCCCACCTTTCATCTAACATGTAAACATTAAAACATAATTAACAGTTCACAAAAAAACAACTGCGCTCAGTGCTCTGACTGTTGTGTTACGCACACGCGTTTCCATTTAATAATACATTCAGGATATTTTTGAAGGCATTTAGGACTTTATGTTCACAGAGCTGGCGTGGTCCAAACGGAGATCAAAGAAACCCCATCTAAATTCTGCCCGCGGGCATGTATGTACGCAATCAAATAAAGTCTCTGCTACATAAAACAGCAACGGTTAGAGACTGGTTTCATAGGAAAAGTTTGAATTCTCCTGTTCACTGAAACACGGCTCGTTCCTCTGTGCGGTTTACATTCCAGGACTAAACTAGGAGAAGCGTAAAATTAAGACAACAGCTTCAGTTCTCCAGTTCGTAAATGATTCGGAACTCGAGTTACACACTTGAAGAAGTGCCAGATGCCTGACTACTTAGCTTATTTCTCTTATAAAGAAGAATTAGCACTTCACTGAACTCCTCTGTTTAAGGAGCTTTTGTATCACAAAATAGTTCAAGCTAAGAAAAAGAAAGATATATGAAAGATATGAATATATGAAAATATATCTGAAAAAGTATTTCTTTAAATTTAGGCTCCATATCAAAGATATCCTGAAAGAGAGGAATGAAAAATGCACTTGAGGAAATTGAAAGAAAAAAAAAAATAAAGTTCTCGTCAGTTTTGAAAGAATTTTGTATCTGGCATTGACCTTACCACAGGAGAAAAAATTACAACCCGCAGGTACTCTGTAGGCCTTTCATTGATGTTCCTCTTGCTAATAAAGAACAGTTTCCAATGCCCTTTGCAATAATGCAGTATTAATGATAATCTAAAATTAGACACTCTGATTTAATAAGATAGTCTCATTTCTCTCCCTTAAGCAGATACTATTGTAACATCCCAGTGTCCTAAAGATTCCAAAACAATCGAAGCTAGCATTTCTAGCTACCTGAGAAACAAAGCTTTTGTTATGGATTCATTTATATGAAGATTCATATGGAATGCTTAAATACATAACACTTACGCAAAGACCCTCCGGCTTATTACAAAACAGAGTTAAAAATGGGGTAAATGAACTCTAGCAATTGGTGTACTAACAGAGATTTTAACAAAAAGCTAAGTGAAAAGTAAAATAGTGTTTTAGATTATTAAATACTGGGGATTGCAGGATGATACTGCTATGTAATGGGAATGACAGCTTTTACACATGCAGTGCTCCCATCTGAATAATGTCCCTTAAAAAAAATTGTTTTCAATAACTACAGACAGATTTTTTTTCATTACCCCTACAGAAATCAAGAGGAAGGCTCAACTGAAATTAAAAATAACTTCTTCCAGCACTTAACAGAAGACATGGACTGGTGAGTTGCCCATTATTTTTCTGAAAATAAAATTAAGATAGCCAGCATCTCCTACACTGAGGTCCAAAGTGACCTACAAGCACCTTTAAACCACACCACTAGTACTTCTAACGTTCAGACCTACAAATGATAATCTCCTTCACCCTCCAAAACAAACAGATACTGCCAACAGCTCAGAGCTCCTAACCTCTGTGGTGCTCTACAGTAGGAATTAAAGGTGATCAGAATCTGAGTTGCTTATAGCTTGTCCATAGACAGTATCTCTCCAAAGAAAGAAAATTAGAATTTTCAAGGTTGTTTTGACTCTCTCACCAGTTCCTCCTCCTGATTCATACTGTCCTTTGAAGAACAGGTACATGGTGTTTTCCCTGTCTTCCTCTATAAAACTGGAAGACTACTGTGTTAGTTAGCACAAAAAAGGGAAGCTGCACAAGCAGCACAAAGATTAACACAAATGTCTCGTTATTGCTGGGTCATTTTCATTCTGACACAAACTAACAAAACAGCCTTTTTCCCTGAGAATCAACCCAAAAAGCAGCCTCTTTTCACGCCTTGTAAATTAGGCCTGTAGTCATACTTCCGCAGCAAACTAGTCTACCCCACTCACGTTCTGTTCTTTTTTGCATCCTATTGTCTTGACAAGCCAAGGTACAAGAGCTAAGCACAATGTTTTGGACTATACTACTGCACATGAGTTGTCTCCAAAGACTTAACAGGAGCACTGTCAATCTCTGATATCCAATGCACTGTTCAGCTTCTTGGCCTACAAGGTAATCAGTTACAAACAGTATGCAAACATGCAGAATTCATTAATCTCTTCACACATAAATACTAATAAGACTCCAGTTAATATAAAATTGCAGTCAATATAATACTGTGCCCTGCAAAAACGTATTGGTTTCATTTACAGTAATTTCAAGTTTACATGAAAGATTTCATATTAAACATATTTCTACTTCCAGTGTTCAAGAATTGATATGATACTGTAACAAGGTTATTCCTGGGCGATCAGAGAAATGCTCTGAAGATAATCTGCAGATGCTATTATAAAGTCAGTCCATTCCTTGGCCAGCTCTTCCATGGAGACTTCCTCCCCCCCATATTCCTGTGGGAGAATGTTGACGGGGAAGTGTTCAGTCAGACTCTGCATGTAGTTACTTCCGTGCATATACACCTAAAACAAAATATGAAAAGCATTTACTTGGGTATGAATGCTAGGCTACTGAATGAAAACAGGCAGCAAAGAAACTCGGGGCAAGAGCTGAAGCCACCAGCTTGGTTTGACTAAACAGGTGTACTTGTTCACAATGAGCTCCTTAAACGAAGAAGAAAATACCATGTAAGCGAGTTTCCTGTGGGTGCTCAAACTCTGTCCTGCTCAGTGTCTGCACCTTGATGAAGCATGGACTACAACCAGAGAACTACATTTTCTGCAGCTGTGAGCACAGGAGCCAAAACTAACTACACACTTGTTCCAGACTGGTTTAGCGACACTGGTAAGGGTACACGCTACATACAAACAGCTCAAATGAGCTAAACCGTGGGAAGACTGGGGTTTGGTCTTGTCACGATAGATACAGTGTGCTTGCTTCTGAGTCATTTCCAAGAAAAGTGTTTGGCTCCTGGCCATTACTATCTGGTCCTGCCACATGTATTTAAAAACAACATTATGTAGTCTGTATGTAGGTTCAGACAAGTGCTAAGGAGGATATTCAAAAGAATCTATGTCAGTCCTTATGTTTCAGTTCCAAATGAAATTAGATCCTGGACGACTCCTCCACTTTAATGCTTGTAATACTGTAATTTTGGTTTTTCTCCTCCTGCTTTATTTTATGTGTTTTGAAGCCTTGTTCATTACTTTTCAGTCAAATACTTTTATAGGCCTCTTATTAACACCTGAAAAGATTTTTATGCAATTATTATTACATAAAGACTACAACCATATGCACTCAAAGTCAAGACAGATGAGTGAATAGCAATTATTCCTACGAAGATACAGGGAACTGGCCCTTAGAGATTTTTTTTCAGATCATACCTGTAACTCTACGCCAGGGGTCAAGATAATCTGCTGCTGTTCCATTCCATGAACTGAGATATCTGGTTTGTTTTCTTTTAGACCTTTACTGTCCATCTGCCCTCTTTGCTGCTTTTTGAGTTCTAGCCCAAGATATTCTGAGCTGGATCAGGTAAGAGGGGCTTTTTTTCACAAGTATTAATGTGAGAGAAGAAGGGCCACAGCATCAGGCTGCTGGACCATACTCCTTTTTTTAATCATCTTTTGAGAGAGAGGGACTGCTCAAGGCTAGCAGAAATAATCTTGCCTCTCTCCCGTAACAAAACACACATGCTAGGAAAAGGCAACTGGCAAATAACAGCTAACGGTGACCAGAAAAATCTGGATCTACTGTCCTGGAGTGCAGTGACTACTGCAAATGCACAATGATCCATGTGCTGAGACAAAAAGGTTTCAGAGTGGAAATAACAATAGGCAGGGATGTTTATTCTGTACTTTAGTCCTGCTGTTAATACTTCACAGTACTTCATTTTGTGCCAGCTGAAACCCCTAATATTCTTCTTATGCTACAATAAAGCAGCTGCTGTTGCATCTAAATACAAACAGGGTTTTCAGACTTAAAGCTGCAAAACCATTTAAAACAACCAAGAAGCTATTTGGAAAAAACCTTTGAAGTTAGACCTGACCTGTTTTTGATGCATAAATGCCTCTGCAGGTCTTTCAGGACTCAACAGTTGTCTTCTACTAATTCTGCACAACATCACTGTTCAGTGACAATTTCCCGCTGTCATTTATAGGCAGAGTGCTGGGAGATCCGGGACCTGTTTCTTCCTAGTTCTGCAGAAGAACTGCTGTGTGACCTCAAGCAAATTATTTAACCTCTCTGTGTCACAGCAGTTTTTATCTTTAGAGTGGCGATAAGAGCAACCACTTGCAACTCTCACATTACTGATAACTACAAATGCTTTACATTTAGATTCTGGAGGCCTGTATGGCACTACCACACAAAAATGACTGATGCTCTTCAGTGTTCAGGAGTACCAGATCCTAAGGGAAGTGCTACAGATTGTCATGTAAGGGTGTTGTGGCAGAAAGAAATATTTGTGTGCACTCACCCGTTCCTTTATTTTTTCAGTGAGAAAAGGCTTAATTAGAGCGAAGACTGGGTGGAAGAATAAAGGCTCATTAATCAAGTGGATACCTCGAACTTTTAGTGGAAAGGAATCCTGTCAACATAACATGAAAAACAGCGTAAGAAATACCAAAGGATTCTGTTGTGAAGGACAAGTCTGTGAAAATTATCTAGTCCATAGGTTAGAGTATTCCTCCTGACCTTGCCAATTCCTGCACTTTGGAATGTTCTTAATTTACACTGCCCCAACAACACTTAGAAAAATCACATCTTGTTCCTCCCATTGTAAGGAAAAAAATAAAAAACAGCATGTGGAGAGGCTGACTATTAAAAAAAACAGCCAAAAAAACCAAAGAAAAAAACCCTCAGCAAATCGCACATAACTACACAAAGCTTGCCCTCAGTCTTTCCTCAGAGGTACAATTCTTCATAACCGAGATTCTGCTGGTAATTTACCAAAAGAATATCT